ATGTTTTATTTAGAAATGCTTTTTAACATTACAATACAAGAATTTTGTGCGTGCTACTCGAGAACAAGTGAGGAGATTATTCCTAACCATGTCATTTAAATCAGATGCAATTTGCTACCGTTAAGCGACGTCACGCATGTGTGTTGAATCTGATTGGCTTCAAAATTATAAATGTATAAACTTTTTTATTTAAGGAGTGTAATTTTTTAATTTAAAATAAATGGTGAGGAGAGAAGTCAAAAGCTGACTCATAGGTGAAAATCACATAAAAATTCATAAATCGAAGAAAAAAAATATAAAGTCCGCATTAAAATTTGAGTAATAATTGTAATAGTTATTTTTAAAAAGAATAATAATAACTTTTTCAAAATAATAACTTTTTTTCAAAATTATAAAAGTGAATCATATTACAATTAAATTCGAAAAGTGATATCGTGTATTTTATTTTTAAAAGAAATAATCGCAGGCTGCATGAAAAAATTTAAATTACTGAAAACTTCAAATAATCATCAAATTTTGAAAGCAAGCCAAACATTAGGATTCAGTACAAAATTCGCGATCAGTATTTAAAGTTAGTAAATCTTAAGAAAACCATTGATAAATTTAATGAATGACTGGCTCACTAGAACTTACAATTTTTAAATAAACCAGGGTTATATTCTTCCTAAGCTACTTTAGTAATTATCCCTATTATATGTTAGTTACTTTAGTTTCTTCGTCAGACTTAGTTTGCAATATTGTTTAGATTATTTTGTAAGGGAAATACCTTTCGTGTTTGAAGCAATATATCCACTTCTGATTTCTAATTGGGGGACCTCAACGTACAATATTACACAACACATTACACAACACAACGTACAATATTACACACACCATTACGCTTCATTATAAATTACGAACTATTAATATTTTGTCTAAATTAATTCTACTGAAAACCGAATAAAAAGTACCATTTATGCCAAGAATTTATTATAAATATCACTTTGTTTATAATTACATAAGCATCATTCAAAATTAAAAGTAAATTCAATAAACATCATTCTAAAGTAAAATTGCACGGAAAAACGAGAAAATGGTAAGACTACCTAAACATAGTTCAAAATTAGAAGTAAAAAGAGTCACTGTAAAATTGTGCGGAAAGGCGAGAAAAATGGAAAACTACCTAAACATCGTTCAAAATCAGAAGTAAAAAAAGTCACTGTGAAATTGAACGGAAAAGCGAAAAATATGTAAAACTACCTAAGCATCGTTCACAATTAGAAGCAAAAAGAGTCACTGTAATATTGTATAGAAAAACGAGAAGGATGTTTCTTTATGAAAAATAGCGTAAATACGATATTTTTGGGAGGGAGACAAGGTAAGTGAAAGTAAAAATGCTTAAAATGAAGAGCAATGTCAATTTTGATTCCGGAATATTTTTCTTAAATATCAAGGAAAAGAGTAATTATGAAACCAAAATTAAAAATTTCAGCAAACATACGGAACCACACCTTAACTTATGATAATATGAATGTAGAATATTTTTAACTACAAAACATTTTGAAATGTAACATTTGCGTTTACAAACTCTCTAAAGCATGAAAACTCTCTTAAAAAAATCATTGCTGAAAGTTATCACTGACTCCTCTTAAACCTCTCTCACATACAATTTGTTGGTTAACACTGAACAATGAATAACATTGAATTCACGATATTTTATGATACTTTTTCGCGACTTATGGGAGTTGAGTTATTCACTCTCTTTAGAGAAGACTTCAGTGCAATATACAGAAGAAAATTTATACCATTTCATTTTAAAATCACACTTCCTAAATATTGCAACAATAAAACATTATTACACTCTCAGAAATAAAACTCTCAATTTTGATAATTCATTAATCTATAGATCTATATTTTCCGTACCACGTATTTCACTGTTTTTTATCATCTGTTAATGGCGAAATCATATGATTTTAACGAAACACGAACACTCAAAAATTTGACAAGATTGATTAATCACTCTTCGATAAATCTGCGAGTTCTGCTACTGCTGTTTCTGATTTTTTGAGTCTGCGAAAGTCTGCGAGTTTACGGAGTCTAAGAATTTCGATTCAATTTCTTAAAAATTTCAAAAATTTGGATAATCCATTGCATCATTTTTTTTTACTTTCCAAACTAAGATTTAAACTAAAATTAATCTAAAATTTAACTTAAGATTCTAAATTTTTTATGGGAATTAAACATAAGCACAGCCATTATTTAAATAGAAATCTTTTGTGAAGCAATACCAAAAAAGCTAATAATTGATTCTTTTTAATCTAAAATTTGAAGAAAAAAATACTATGATGTCTTGTGCACATGCCATAAGTCATAAATTTATGTTAATGACTCAAAACAAAATTTAATTGGCAGTCCAATACAGTCTAACCCCGGTTTAACGAGCCCCTCTTTACCGAATTTCGTGATTTAAAGAACTTTATAAAGTAAATGAAGTAGATTTACAGGAAACAATGAATAGCGACTCTGACTCAGAAGTCAATAATAATGAATCTCCAGTGCAAACTGTTACTTTTTCTGTTGCTTTGCACAGTTTGGAAACAGTGAAAACATACCTAATGCGGCAAGATGTAAATGAAAGAATATTTTATTCTCTTCATGACGTCGAAAAAGAACTTTTTAAAGTAAGAAATCAAGGAAATAAGCAAACCTTACTCATGAAATGCTTTAAAATTTCAGATTAATCAGTGCGTAATCATGCGCTGTATTTTAATTTCCTGAATAAAAAGTGTTAAATTTCTATTTATTTTGTGTATTTGCTAATTAGAGATGTTCGAATATTGCATAAGGTTAGTCAATTTTTTTTTATTTTGCTCCTGATTTAACGAGTAATATTTTCGGTCTTTAAGAATTCGTTAAATCGGGTACTGATTGAATGCATTTTTAAATATCAAACTAAAAATACCCGAAATATAAAAAGTCCTTTTTTAAATTGAAAAAAAAAACTTATTTTTTGATATTGATGAAAAATATTTTGTTTGAAACTAGTACGAATTCGAGCATCATGCTATATTCAAACTTTACTTAATATGTTTGTTGGAATCAAGTAATCTTGCTCATCAGGTAACGAATTTAGGATTGAGAAAACCCATTTAGAGACAAAACTGCCTGAATCTGTAAACGATTGCAGTTTAGAAAATAGTTATGTTATTTTGTTTTCAGCGAGTTCAGTATTTTTGCTATAACTTTAAAAGTTTTCAAATATCATCTTATGCTTTCATACAAATTTCTCGAAAAAAATTAGTCGTAACATCGAAAAAGCAAAAGCTATTCGAAAAAGCAAGAAGCTTTTCAAAAAAGCAAAAATTTTGTTCGGATGCTGTGTTTAAATTCTAGAAGGGAAAGAGAACTTATCCGTCCGTACTCCTTTTATTTTATGTTGTATTTCCGAATAAATTGCATTTACCATGCTTCCTTTGTTAATAGTATTAAGCCTCTTACTTTTGATTAAACTCGTATCCTCAATCAAATAAAGATAGTAATTTCCTCAATTTTACGGAATGCTCCCTTTAAGCATTTCATAGGAAACTGGTTGCCCCAAAGATGTAAAAAATTTCAGAAATATTGAGCATTCTTTTTCTGTCCATATGGCATTTTATTAAGTTATAGAAAAATAAAAATTCATTCCACCTAATTATTGGAAATCAAACTAATCTACACGAGGGAAAGAAACTAAAAAAATATTTAAAATAACCATAACTAAAGCTTACTACAATGAACATATTTCAGCTCATAATTTACAAATGAGTGTATAATTCACACACTTCTTGATTTTTCCTGGAAACGCCTTAATCTTCTGTGGAATTAACCATGCAATTCTAACAAGTATCAATAAATGATACACTGTAATGATATTTTAAACGTTTATCAAAATTTATAGATTATTGTACCTTATTTCGTATTAATAGATATCAAAGAAGTATGTTTTTTCTCAAAATCGGAATATTTTAAAGTAAACAATTCATAAATGTTTCATATTCCAGTGAAATGTAATATCTGCTTGGTAAAGGAAAAATAATGTATGTTTTGAGGAAATACAGTCCAAATAGTTTTTTATTCATTTTTATTTTCAAAATATTGTTTGTAACTGTAAAAAAATAAACATTTTCTTAAAACTCCGTGTACTTGCTTAGAAGTAGGCTTTTTTTTACAATGTTTATAGAAAGTACAAACTAAAAAAAATGTGTAAAAAATTGTGAAGGAAAAAAAATCATTTAACTGATTGAAGCTTTCAGAGGGGAAGAATAATATTTTAAAGTATTTTAACAGTTCGCAACAAACGCTTAGGTTTCGAATGATTCTTTTTATAGATCGTATTTTCTTAACTTTTGTATTTGTCTAGATATAGTACTTAAACTATTGCACTTAATAAACGTAATCCGATATTCAAAAAATTCTTACACTTCGTAATATTATGATTATCTTAATATAAAAACTTCAGCCTACGAAATTCATTTGTTTCATAATTCGAACTAATGACTTTTTTACAATTGTAATATCATTTAATAATCAAAATGTTAATAACAAATTTAACATAAAATTTTAAAAATGCTAAAGTGAATGACAGTTATCAAAATATTATGTAAACTACAAATTGTTTATAAATGAAATATTTTGAAAGACTCACTTTACCCAAATTTCGGTAACCAAATTCAATAGCCAGTTGATCCACCACATTTTACACTGGTTAATCTCACCACCCAGTCATTAGTGTAATGCCCATTGTCCTCATAATCCAATATTCAATAAGTTCTTACACTTCGTAATGTTATGCATATCTTAATATAAAAACAATACCCTTAAAAATTACTTTTTTTTATAATTGAAATAAATACTTTTCTTATAATTGTAACATTATTTTATAGCTAAAATTTTGGATAACAACGTAAACACAATATTTTAAATATGCTAAAATGAATTTTGTAAACTACACTCCAATAAATGAAATATTTTGAAAGACTCACTTCACCCAAATTTCGGTAACCAAGTTCAATAGCCAGTTGATCCACCACATCTCTACCACCGGTTATTCTCACAACCCAATCATTAGTGTAATGTCCATTGTCGTCATGGGCTTCCACTTTGTCCCATAAAAGGATTCCTGCACAAAAGAGGAATAAAGGGACGAAGCGCCGCATCTCTACTTAAAGGAAGGGAGCTGACAATTGCAGCAACCGTCGTCGGGGAGCTCTTCTCTCGGAAAGATATCAACAAGTTATCTAGAGCGGCTGGTGGCCGATTCTAGCTGAGAAGACTGCCATCTGGGAAAAATGTCTCTTCTGATAAATACCTTCCTTTTTATCTCAATTCCTCCTTTCTTTTTCTTTTGGAGAAAAGAAGGAATTATTGCAGATGACATAATAGAAGAGATAATTCGATCGAAGAAATGTGAAACAAAATCTTTTAAAAGAAAGGAAAGCTTTAACCGAATTGAGTTTTTTTGCTTTGTTTGTTTTTTAAGATACGTGCTACTATTAGAATCTTTATATAAATATGAAATATAAGCTAAAACTGATTTCAAATTTATTTGCCTGTGTAAGTTTTAAGTTTACAGAGAAATTGGAAGCAATGAAGGATTTGTATTTTTATATAAAAGAATTTATGCGTCATAAAAATATAGTTAGTCTGCATAATTGGATATAAAAAACGAAAGCGACTTACTTATTTTCAAATTTTGGACTGCTTTAACTAAAAGATAGTAAAAGTAAGTAAAAGATAGTAAAAAATACGGAAATTTAATAAAGGAAATGTAAAATAATGAAAAAATAGAAAATGATAAGAAAAAAATAAATTGTTGAAATTAAAGTATTATAAATTAAAATNATTTTATACATGTGCTAATTTCTATACTACTATTAATGTCTGATAATTTCTTTTTATGTTGTTTAATACCTTACTATGTGTTGTATATTGTGGGTAAGTTTCATAAAATTCCATGTGTAATTTCTTGAGTTATCGCGATTTTTGTGAATTTTCCTTAATTTATGATAACCAGTGTATATTAGTTACCTTTTTTTTTAATTTTTATTATGCTAAATTTTATTAAAAACAATTTAAATTTTTTTAAAGAAACTCTTTATGGAATAAAATATTTTAATTACTTTTTTAGAGATCTCGTAGCACACATGAATATCATATCTCATTAAATTGCTAAACTATACTTGTTTTAACTCATCGCCATATTTATTTTAACTTATCTCATTTCCTTTTACACATATATTATTATCTTATTTTTTATTGCATCAATTTACAATCAATTTCTTAAACATTTATAAATGATCATACGCTAATACATTAGTTAACTTTTTGTCTCCAAAGTATTTTTCCTTGTCCAAAATATTTTTACTGTTCTGTCTAATTAAAAACAATTTCAATAAAAATTTCTGAAGATGCCTTTAATGGAGAAAAAAAAATTATCGACTTTTGTAGCGACGCACACACACTACTAACATATCGATCGCATTAACCTTTTTTAAATCTAGAAATCTTATGAAAGAAGTGAACATATTTAGTTACGTACCGGAATCATCATTTAGTGACATATGAATAGTTTTCGATTAATACAACAGATGTTTTTGTCAGAATATGGAACAGCATTTACCTTGAAAATATGGCATTATTAACACGCCCACTTTTTTTCTCTATTTGTAAAATATTTATTTGTTATATTATTATGTTTTGGGATTTTGGGCACTAAAAATCCGAGTTTACATTACCTTTGTATTTTCTTTATCGTTTCCAAATAAACCTAGTTTAGTTCCTAGAAAAAACCAATTGTTTATCTAAAAGAGTGAAGTAATTTCGGAATGAAAAATAGCTATTTAATGCAATTGCGTGAATAAAATAATATCTATAAGAGATCATCACCTTTAGAAAAAAATATACATTTTGCAAGCAAATGTTCACAAGTTTTTTGTCTATTTGGGAATTACTTCCTTAAGCAAAACTGTAGTTTATGTGAGGAGAAAATAAAATGTTATTCCAATCCAAAGTAACTTCAATAATGACTTCTCTTTCTATATAAAAGCGAAACTCTGTCTCTATGTTTTTAGTTAAAAATTCTAAAAAAGGCATCGATTTAGATCGTGTTTTTATTGCTGCTAAAAAAAATTTCATGAGGTGGTTTGTAAATAATCGCCACTTTCCGGTGTCGTGTAGTTTGGAGGAAAAATCAAAAATACGAAATTTCATTGATGAGACCCATTGTTTCATATTAAACTTTCGCTAATATAGTTTGAACGACTTCAAAGGTTGGCGAGGTTTGCAAAAATTTTGAAGATTTGGTCGCGGTAAGTTTCACTTCTCAACGTTGAGTTTCCCGCATGTTTTATAAAAAAACGTGTTTTTTTCATAATTTCAAAGTTGCGTTTTCATAAAAACAGCATCGATACAAATTGTTTAAAAAAATGGAACATACGGAATCTTGAAAAAAAAAGAAATATATCATTAAAGCCCGCTACGACTATATAGTTTAGCCACGACTATAGTTTAAATGGAGAAGAAAAAGCCGACCGGACTTGTGTAGTGGTCAGGGAGTGAACCTCAGATCACAAAGGTCGTGGATTTGAATCCCTGACAAGGCAAGAATGTTCCTTCATTCTCTGTACTATCTGTCCTTACTGTAGGAGTAACGTTGGCCCACCTAATATGGTGCCCCTGAAGGAGGGGCCAGCAAATCTGCCCTTCTGATACCCGAATGACAAGTGTCAATCGGGTGGGCATTGGACAAAAAAAATGGGAAGAAAATACGCGTGCTAAAAAAAGAAAAATACGAGCGCTGACATAAGTTATCAAATATTAAATAAATTCCAAATTTAATCTTAAATGAAAATTTTAAACATGAATATAAAATAAATATGCCTATTCTTGTTCATCCAAGGAGCTTGTTCATCCATTTTAATTTCAATACTTTTAAATTTTGTTAACTCTATTACTATAGCCCTTTGTTGCCAAATAATAATTATTATTATTATTTTTGAAATCTATGATTTTTTGAAACAAAAATCTTTAAATTTCTGACTGAATATTATTTTCCCTTAAAGTAAAATATTATAAAATTTTAAAAAATTATCCAAATTTTAAATGGCGAAAGGTTGAGCACCTGCAGATACAATTAAACGTAAAATCGTACGTTTGTGTTTTTGCACTTAGGGCCTTAGTCAGTTAATTCTCAAAATCTCTGTATAAATATTAAGAAAAGAAAAAATTTTAACAGCAGAAAAATTTTTGTCTTGACTTAAAAAATCAAAATATAACAAAATCAAAAGTTAAATATGACAAAATTGGCAATCAAATGTCCATTTTAATTACCGATTAAACGTATCATACGAATGTAAAGAATGTTTTCAACTGTTTCACGCAAATACTCATTTACTTGGTCTTGCTATTTTTCGTCCTTCAACAGCACCATTAAAAGAAATAATTTTCTTCCTACTTTATTTTTTGCTTTAAAATGCATCATTTACTGTTTTATATTTGTTTTTTTTTTAACTTAAGGAAATTTATGACATCGAATGTCAATCTTACCAACAAAATTCAGTTTCTCGAAATATAACGTTTCAACTGGACAACAAAATGATGATTAACAATAGCAAATAAGCACAAAGTTTGATTTCAACAAAGTTGCTATTTGCTGCGTTATTCATCAAAAATAACCATTGAGCTACTTAGCATTTCTGCTTCACTTAAAATATTATCATGTGTTGCATTGAAAAATTTATTAAATTTAAAAAATTAATTGCAAAATTTACCGCGATACCTATTTTCATCAAATCTGAAAATTTCTTCAAAATGCCGAACAACTGAAAATGCTGACATATAAGACGCGAAAATTACATTTATTGTCATTTAAGCAATCTATCTATATTATATAAAACGCTAATACGTATGTATCAATAAAACCGATGATATTTCTTTTCTCGCGTTGGCAACAGTTTTCATTTTTAATTGATAGGCTTCGGCGCGCAAGAGCACGTAGTGAGCATATCATATGTCTAATCGGGTGAATTCTCACCGAATTATCAAAACAATTCTCACAAAATTATCTTCATCGAAGCCGATGCTTTACATCCGGCGTTCAGTACTATTTCATATTGTTTTACAACACATGGTTTTAGCCCTCTGGTGGGAAAGACTTTAAAACAGAACTTACAAAAGTTACTTTTCTCAACAACTGAAATTTAGAATAGTGTGATTAAGAAAAATATGCGAACTGTTTTCAATTTCAAATTAATATTGAAATGCACAGGTTTAGAATTTTCTACAGTGAAAAGTTTTCGAAACTTCAGTGTTCAAAAAGTATACAAAAGCTAGACGTTAAGAACGTATCTAATGAGTGAGCAAAGCGAGCAGGGGGCGAAGCCTCCTAGTAATAATTAATACTTATATTTCGTCTTGATTTCCGATTTTACGATTTCATATTTCAAAATGTTTAAGAGTAATGAATGTTAAGACTTATTTAGAAAGGCAAACCAGCTGCTTAATGGATGTGGCTAGTTTTAAATCATAAAGTAATCAAATTAATTATAAAATCATACTGTTTCTGATTCTGTCTAATAAACACTAAGTACAAGGCATAAAAAACCTGGAAGCATCCTATAACTCTCAAGTTAGTTGTTATCATCCATTTGTTTTTAAAATTACGGTTCATTAACTTTCAAAATACAGTAGCCAGCACTAAGTACATGAGCCTTAAATTTAAAGAATTCAAAATATATCTTCATTGTTTCAGAGAATATGAAACTTATTGAAATTATAAATGTCGAAATAGCTTTTTTAATATGTGTAATTTTCAAGACACAAATATGTCTACAAAACGTAACCTTCGCGTCTGATTTTGTGTACGATTTTTGATGCCAATACGCCACTAAGTATAACAGAAATTACAAGAAAAACGACTTCTAGGACATATTTTTACTATAACGAAGAAAAGTTTATGTCGTTAGTATAAATAAAAAAAACAACACTTTGAGGAAGTTTCGGACTATGAAGGGATTTTCAGTTACGATATCATTGAAATGGGTGTAAGAAAAAATCTCTTCAACAGAATCAGTGCTTATGCTTTCCTTGTAATAAGTACCTTAGAAACCACATAAACCTAAGACCAAGCACATGAATATAAACTTACACATAATCAGTGAGAACTATTTTTCTTCGATTTTTATCGAAAGTTATACTCATAAGGAATTGACCTTACGCCAAAGTTTATTCACTCGTTTTATTTATTTTTGAGTATTCTTATTTTTTGGGGGGCCCGGAATCTAAAAATT